GCGCGTGACGTTTATGCCACGCCCACGACTCGCAATCGGCGGCAGGCCCAGTGTTGCCATTGTTGGGGATTTTTCCTTTTTCCGAGGATTTTAAAAAGTCCAAAAGGAATTTTTACTTGATAGAGGATTTGTCCTCTTTTCGGGGATTTTGAACTTTTAAAAATGTTTAAAATAATTTTAACATAATTTCCTGTTCAACAATCCAATAATGAATAACAGTAATAACTGGGTAAACATAAAATTGTAGATATGTAAATATAGTTATATCAATAATAGATAATATATTATTTCAATTTCCATGTAATTGGTAATATACTTATATACCTGAAGGGACCTAATATTGTTCTATGCTAATATTGTATCAAACTAACAACTGCTATGTTTGTAAATAGTTTCGGATTTGTCATCTAATCGTTATTCAATATGTCAGTACCCACTACCATTGATTAAATATACATGTATATTTAATCAATGCCACTACCCAGTATAATATTGTATATTATAATATTATATATTATATAGAGTATATAAACATATTTTTATTATAGGTACTTATAGCCCCTGATCTACATAGTAGGACATACTTAGACATAGGTGCTAATCACTAATAACTAAAATGTATATAAATGAATCAAAAACAAACACATTTCAAGTATAACATAAGCATTTTATATAAAAAGTGTAAAAAAAGTAAAAACATTATCAGATTAATATTAACTAATAAATAACTTGAATAAAAATATTGAAAACAGTTTTTATTTCTTAACTATAACAATATCACAAAGTTACATCAGTCTCTTCCTTGAGATTTTTTTATAAATTCAAAATAATAACAATATAAATAAAACAAAATAATTACTATTAAACTTAAAAAAATAGTAATAATCACAAACAACTTGTTTGAGGTTTTTATTTTTTATAAATTCAAAGTAATAACAAGTTCAATAGTTAAAAAAAAAATAGTTACTTGTATAATATTGTATGTTTTAATATTACATATTATATAGAGTATAGACATAATATTATTATACATTTCAAGTATAACATAAGCATTTTATATAAAAAGTGTAAAAAAAGTAAAAACATTATCAGATTAATATTAACTAATAAATAACTTGAATAAAAATATTGAAAACAGTTTTTATTTCTTAACTATAACAATATCACAAAGTTACATCAGTCTCTTCCTTGAGATTTTTTTATAAATTAAAAATAATAACAATATAAATAAAACAGAATAGTTACTGTTAAACTTAAAACAATAGTAATAATCACAAACAACTTATTTGAGGGTTTAATTTTTTACAAATTCAAAGTAATAACAATTAAAATAATTTTTAAAAAAATAGTTACTTGTACATCTTATAGGAATGCTTGTGAACCATATCAGATGAAATATTAAATTCATAACAATGCTGGGCTTGGATGCTTAGTAAATTTTTTGAATGCAGTATGCCTGACATTGTTTCTGTAGAAATACGATTGCGAATTTTTGTCTTATTTAAGTTTATGGAGCTAAATAAACGTTCAACGGATGCACTACTGTGAGGTAAAGTTAGTATGTAAGATACAAAACTAGTCAATGAGGAAAATGCTTCTAAATTATCACCATTTTTTAAATCTTTAACCGTTTTCCAAAAGTCCATTAACTCTAAGTTGAAGTTTAAATCATGATTCCTGAGCATTCTCCACTCTCTATCGATATCATTTATGTTGATATTTAGTTTGGGGAAATTAGCTACAATAGGAGCAACACTGATTGTGTTCTTTATATTCTTTGGGTCTAAAACTGACATTGATTTTAGAAGTTTCATATGATCTGAATTAAAGGGGAAACGCTTGTACATTTGATGACTGCATTCAACATAAAAATTCAGACAATTTGTAAAAAATTCATGTTTATCTTGTTTTGAAAAATCATTTTCTTTTGAAAAAGCTACTGTACAAACAGTTCCTAAATATATTTGTTCGGCTGGCAAAAAGTGTAAAGGGTTCCTATATTGGATTTTTGAAACATCAGTAGATTGTATATATTCAGGTTTTAAATAACAATCTAAAATAGCTTTGTAAGTAGTTGAGACTTTAGAATAAACAGTATGAATTTGAGGACTTTGTGATTGAAATACTAAATTTAAGTTTGTTAACATAGGTAATACAAAGTCTAAAAAATGTAAATAAAATATCGTACATTTATTTGATAACTTGGAAAAAATTTGTTCGGCTTTTTTATCAATTAAATACTGACCTTGAAAGTACAACTTTAATGCTTGGTATTGTTCTATAGTTCTTTTTACACTAGAATGCAGTGACAGCCATCTAGTTTGGCTTGGATGAAGCAGTTTATGAGGTTTTGTTTCTACAAATTTTTGAAATTCGCTGAACTCCGTTTGTCGTTTGAAACTATATTTCATATACACATATACTTCCCTTACCAAGTCTTCAACGTAATTAGGTATTTTTTCAGCAGCGCAAGAAGCACACAATGCCAACGAATGGCAAACGCATTTCATAACAAATATACCGTTGACTTCATTTTCTAACAATGTTTTGACAGAATGGTTTATTCCAAACATTGAAGCAGCACCATCTGAAGCAAATCCAATAAGATTGTCCTGGTAAGGAATGTTGTTATTTTTGAAAAAATTCATAATCTCCTCAAATACACTATTAGCAGTCGCGTTTGAAATTTCTTGAAGGCAAGCAAATTCATCCTTCACAACAAACCGATCGTTATCAACCATACGCACTATGATCGCTAAATGTTTTATAGATGATTTATCAGTGGATTCATCAATAATGATTGAAAAATATTGTTTCTTCATTTTATCCACAAGAATTTCAAATGCATGCTTTCCCACTACATTTTTCACTATGGAAGTTGCTTTTGTTCGGTTGCAGGAAACGTTCTTCAGAACTTCTGACTCCGGTGCTAAGGTTTTCACTAGTTGAACCAGGTGATCTGAAGTTCTGAGGGATATATTATGTTCTGTGATAAACAATGCCAAACGAATTTCTGCCTCTTTTTTTCTGCGTTGAAGATTTTGAAATTTCGGAGTATTGTACATTGTATCAATGCTAGTTGAGCTTTAAATTACACTTACATTCTTTTTATGCTTATCAGACTTGGAATGTTTCCGTACAGCAGACAGTCCACCTAAGAAATCGCCATTGCACAACTTGCAATGGAAGTATGTTTCACCTTTTTTACTTGATGATATCCAAGTTGAAAATTCTTTCATTGTTTGCCATTCCTTCCTGTACTTAGGTGTATAAGGTTTTTTTTTTGGCCAACCTCTTACACTGCCAACTTCATCGCTTGAAGACATTTGAACGATTCTAGAGAATAGATGTAATTATTATTAATTAAATATTTGTAAATATTGTAAATATTTCATATATTGCTCAAAAGTATTATTTAGTAGGCAAATAACTTACTTATAAATGTTATTGTACAAAAAAACAGGCGTCTGGCGTATTCAACTTTATACCTAGTTCATTAAGCTTAAGTTGAGCAAATACTATACTATTATTCTAGTATATTAGTATCTATAGTACCTATTTGAGTTGAGTTAAGTATCGACAGAGAAGACTTTAAAAATTATAATGGGACGAAGTGAGTTTGATAAGAGTGATAAGAGT